GTGCAAGTCAGCAAGTCACGTAACAACCACAACCGATATAAAGTCGTGGTGGGATTGTATGTATCAAAGCTACACTTTGGCATTGTTTAACGTTCATAGGTAATATGAAACCATCGAAAATTGGTCGCTTTTGGGAAATTTGTATAATAGCTCCTCCCGATGCAAAAGGCCCATACACTCAGAACATGAACATGTGTTATGATTAGGGATGTATAATTTTCAAGAAAGGAATTACCTAGTACTTAATGGCATTAGAAAACAAAGAAATATGTATCAACCTTGGACACCAGGATCATTCAGAAAGAAACCTGTAACAAGTTGTACCCAAACTATGGTAAGCCAAGTGCAGTGTCTTATAACACGAACACGAACACAAAGGTAATAGCTGCACACGTGTCCACCTGGGATTAACTGTACACTAATTACTTCCATAACATATTTTTCAAAGGTCGCATACCTCAAGTAACTGGAGATGAAAAGAGGATTCATGTTATTCTATAAGAAAAGATATCGGTCAAGTTATCAAACACAATACCTATGAATTTCAGTGCGATCCGACTATTGAAACGAGCTCCGGGAACCGTTGTTCTCCTACACTAGATAGATTATGGAAAGCAATGAGAAAGATATGTGTGCTTTGGACATAAAAACCATATGACGAAGCTTTTTGTAATGGAAACTACATTGAAGAGTTATTGTCAAGATACACGGTCGTCGGATAGATTATGAATGGACATGGCGATACGTATTGTTACGGGTGAGGCTCGAAACTCGTTTTAGTTTAAAGTATACTCAATCTCTGAATAAATTATATGTTGAAGAACATTTTACTAATTGAATAGATTGGTAGAGAAAGTAAAATAATTTCAATTAGGATACAAGGATTTTCACAGCCTGAATACTAGATTTTCCATATATTATTTTTTGATTGCATATCGAACACTTGACTTTTTTCCGGTAATTTCATCTTATCTAACAACGGCCAAGTTTTCCACTTATTTCTTCCCTTATCATCGCCGAATTCATTCCACTTTTTCTCCTTCGGCTATCATTTTCTCTTCGTTACTCGATTTTGTAACAGAGCATGCCAATCAATATCTGACCAAAACATTTCTACAAGCATAAATAAGAAGCTAGATAAAACACACAAAAACTTGCATAAAGTTGGGATGAATACAAACACTTAGACAAAACCAGTTAGCTGTCACATACTCTCTAATTACTAACAATTTATGTACGTCTTCTGTTAACTATGTTCTTTTTTTATATTTGGACTGCGTCATACTTTCTTTTACAGTGATACACATTTTTTCTTCATTGACAGTTTCATGTATATATATTTTTTCTTGTTGGATCATTTCAACCACACAATTAATGTGCTAATCCATACAGATGGTTATTATTTTTACAGTATTGACATCTCTCCTACCTCACGTATTTTATTTATACGCATACAGTAACGTTTGTCATCGTGATCGATAGAGTTGGTTTTCACCTCTGTACTATTATCCTTTACTTTAACCCTCACAACTAACATGCATCTAAGCATCATATCTCTCATACTGATCCTAAAAGGTTTATTTGTAAGATATTTCACTTTTGTATTGTAAAGTTAAATGACAAATATTATGAATTAACTACTGAAGATTTCGAGATTCGCTAATTTTTTAGACTCTTTACATGTTACATGCCAGTAATTTAATAACAATATATTGGCTCTGGTTCAATCATACGTTGCATACTTCTAACAGATTGGTGTAAATTGTGCTTTGAAACGTTACCAACTTCAGTCACAGATTTCTTTTTAACAACGTTGATTTTCATAGAGAAAATCATACATTTGAGGTGATAGCAGTTAAAGCAGTTCTTACATTTTCTTGTTGTGTTCTTTTTTATGTGTTTAGAAAGCACTTTTCTTGGGTTTTAAGAGATTTTTACCAACTGAAAATATTAATCATATAATAAAAATAAGCATCAATATCAGACAACGATTTACATTTAAAAGTAATTATTACTCTGTTTGGAAATAGAAGAAAAAAGCTAGAATAAGTGATTATTAATCCTTATTCCAACCAACACTATGAATCTACAACAGAACATCTTAAGTCTAAGAGATACGTTCAGTCTCTAAACAAACAAGTTACTGGAAGATGCTCTTATATCTCTTTTCTAAGAGTAGCTGTGAACATGCTAAGCTTAAATCCCTTAGTTTAGGATTTTAATAAAAAAAAGACGTATACATTTCGTAAAAATATTAGTAAATTATTGTTAATCGTTTCAAGCAATTTTAGGCATTGTATAAAAAGTCATAAATCTATATTGATTAAATATATTAAATTTAATTTAGTATACTTAATAGTTTTTGTTTTTCTCAGGCACAAATATATATTGTAAAAATCATATTTTTAGGCCATTAGTTGCCAAATAGTATAAGGCTAGAATCCCTAATATGTTAAATTTAATTTAGTATACTTAATAGTTTTTGTTTTTCTCAGGCACAAATAGATATTGTAAAAATCATATTTTTAGGCCATTAGTTGTCAACTAGTAGAAAACTAGAACCCCTTCAAAATTTGTAGTACATACTCGAGGGATTTACACATTTTGATAAAAAGGTTAGAAAAAAACGACATTTATATTCCTGGTAATTAAAAAAAACTTTTTATTTTAATCAACCTTTGCAATATCATCATGGTGAGTACATACAACTATTTGATATTAGAATATTCGTTAAATGATAAAACTGGTTGTAATGAACAGAGACAATGGGTCGTACATGTAACTAAAATAACACATCATATCAATACACTTGACACTATTACTTACAGCTTAACACTTGTGTACTCTGGAGTACACACAGTCCAACAATTTGTTTTTAATACTGCTGGTAAACTTTGTATCCTTTCCACTTATTATTGTTTCTTAGCAGCTTCTATTTTCTGTATATTTGTCTGTTAGCTAATCATGAAACATATTGTAGTTCTCTTAATTTTTATATCTCATATAAGTAATATATGTTAGTATAGCTGTATAGTTAGTACTAAAACTATATTATGATATTAGAACAATAGTGAAACAATAATAATAATCTATACGTTTATTAATTTGCAATAAAAGCAATACAATTTAATCTAGCACAATAAATAATTATTATAAACAGGGACTTGCCCTAAAAGGCTCTACACATGTTTCGGTGTCTGTATGACACTATCTTTTACACAGTGTCGTTTATGAATTATTTAATCTATACATTGCTAGACGCACGTTACGGCAGACTTGATAAACAGAACATTACAAGCAGTTTTATAATTTAACGAATATTCTAATATATAATATTAATATATAATAATTGTATGTACTAACCCTGATAAAGTCGCAAAGGTTGGTTAAAATAATAAGTTCTTTTATGATTATTTGTAGTATAAAGGCCATTTTTTCTAACCTTTTTATCAAAATGTGTAGAATCCCTTCAGAAAAACTTAAGAAAATTAAGAATTACCTAAACTAGTAATATACTTAATGCAGATAACCGCGAATTGTAAGTTTAAATATAATTTGATGCTTTAGATCCGACTTTCACTTATTAGCCTAACTAAAATATGTATTGGTTTGTCAATTAAATTCTTTCAATCCCAAAATAAAAGTTAACTATTTTCCAATGAAATGAAGATAAATGAGATGCAAATTTAAGCAGTTTCAGAATATTTTTATTTAAATTACTAGTTTTCATCAGTTTAATTTTGGGAAACACGTTTCTCTAATTTTAATCGTCTTTCTTTTCTTTGCAATTTATCTGGACTATCAAGTTCACACTGAAACCCAAACACCTTCGATCTTAACCACGAAAATAATTTATTTTTTTTATATTTATACGATTTCGTATTCGAATGAAAAATTATTCCCCAGGATTACTGTTATTAGAGTGTTTCTTAAATTAATTTCAACGAGGTTTTGTTTTGATTTACTTTGTAATCTCCAAGTTCTGTTCTCAGTATTACTAGAAATATAGACAGATAAAATATTAATTTTCCGTTTTTTTAAAAATTCTATTTACTTTTGAAACGTATTTCACTTTTCTTCTTACTGTTGAATTCATGAAGGATTTTTTCATGGGGGTATAGCAACAATCTACTAAAACGATCTTAATGTGGGGTAATGTCTAACAGAGTCTACTGCCACTGGCTTGGACATCAAGCAGTGTTATACACTCTAGTGATTTTAAGGTTCACATAAAAGCCGTACAACGTGGAAAGAATTGCTGATAACAATAGTTTCTTACTGAAAAGCTTTCCTAAAAATGCTGATACACGCAAATGTTTTTCAGAATAGATCTCAAAACATGACAATGTAATACTTTCTGGCTGAACAATCCACAAATTCAGGTTCAAAGCACGATCGCACTTTCTCCTTTTGTGTGCCCATTTGTGTTAAGGAGCAGTTGATAGAACGGAATTCCAAGAGGTAAAGTTTGACAACCTGGCAGTTAGTACTTTTACGGATATTCTTACAAAGTTCTTGTTTATCTTTTAGAGTAGTCTCATGATATTTCATATTCGACAGAGTTACCTACAAATTTATACTAATCGCTATGAATAACTCTGTGAACTACCAGAATTGTCGAGCTTTATTCTTACGATATCTTAAGTGACTTGAAACATCTTTTTCAAAATGGATGTTCTATATGTAGGGGTTGAGAGCAACAAATAATTACCCAATTAACAAATGTGGTTTGCTTAATTGTTGTTTCTAAAATAATTTGCCTATTTCTAGCCCGTACAACTTCTGTTTCATTTTATTTCGAAAGTATTTGATAATAATTTATATTCTTTAATTTAATGTCAAGTCCTTAAGTGTAAAAACTACATAAAAACTATGAGAGATTAGTAAAACTTTAAATTTCAACAGATCACACTGCGGATATATTTTCAAATCGTTTTAGATTAATTTAAACATATCTAGAAACCTAACATATTTGTAGCCAATAACCTAGGTTTTGTTACCTTGTCAGTAAGGACATCTTTCGAATCCTGGAGCTTAATCTCGTCCCCGTAGAACAACGAAACTGACCCAGGTAGCGTCAAAAGTAGAACCATGGCACCCAAAGTATACGTTGTCCCTATCCTTGTAGCCAGCCTCGTCGTCTCAGCGCTGCCTAAGTGCCAATTAATCCAAGACGACTCTGAGAAAGTGCTCCATTCATCAGCCACAGTTAACTGAGCTTTAAGGTCTAGCGAATGTGAGACGTTGAAATTTAAATGGAAATCTAAGATATCACAAAATTTTAATAAAGAGATAAGAAACCGAGACTTTTTCTTTCTCAGAGTTTCAACAAAGTGAGAAGAGACAAGTAAGATATTTCTTCTTGTATCTGTACTGTACTTGTTCAGCAGAAAGCGCCAGTGTTTCATTATAATAAATAAATCTCTCTCAACTGTGATCTGGATATGTTCTAGACCTTTTATATAAACTCCATCTACACGTTTTTGCAGCCAAAACTCAAGAGCTGAGTTCATTTCTTTTTGAACAGCTGGATGTGACCAATTTAAAAACAACTCTCCACCAAAGGGTCTGTTAGGGCTTTTTTTTTCTTCGACATGGCCGTCTTGAAAACCAGAACTCTTTTCCTGGAAGTTAGAAAATACAAAATGCCCACTTTGTTATTTATTTTAATTTCTCAATATATGATAACACGTCAATCAACTAACGTTTCCTATATAAATCAAAATTACTACATTACGATGGACAAACTAGTCTTACTGACTGGTTAACGTAAGACAGTTCTGTGACGTATATTTCGGATGTACTTAATAAAACTCTACAATAGCGTATTCTGATTTTCTTGAATATATTTTACTATACTATTATACGATAATACAAAAAGATGCTGACAGTTGTTATGTAGTTGAAAATGATTTTAATAGCTTTTCGATAAAACAGAAGCGTAAATCATCATATTTATATATAAATTTATGTTTGTTTGTTTGTAATTAAGCACAAAGTTACACAATGGGCTATCTATGCTCTGCCCACCACGGGTATCGAAACTCGGAGTCTAACGTTGTAAGTCCGCAGACATGCCGCTGTGCCACTGGGGGGGTATGAATTTATGACATTTTAAACTTTAACGTTAACTCAGTATAAGAATTACATTTTATAATGGTTATGTTTTTATCATAAGCGATCCTTCATGTGTTTAACACTGTACTTTTCCTTGCGAATCTAAAAGTCTCTTTACATTATTAAACGTATAGATTATTATTATTATTGTTTCACTATAGTTCTAATATTATGATATAGTTTTAGTACTAACTCTACAGCTATACTAATATATATCAATACACATATTTTTATTTATACTAGCCTTCTGTTGAAATCGTTTTTGATGATACAGATGCAACATCATTCGTTTCATAAATGGTTCTGTGAAAACTAGAAAGCAGGGTCTTGCTTCATTAAAAGAGAAGAAAGTGAACGTGTGTTGAACCATTCTGTTAATAATAAGTATTGTTTACATTCTTTCTTTATAAATAACAATTAATCCTCATGATTTTTATTACTAAACACATAGACCATAGACCTTTTTATATTATACTCTATACCACAGACATATTAGTTTTAAATTATTTTATATTAAACATATGTAATGTTTTGTAACTCTCATAAACGATATTACCTTTATTTCGCTGGTTTCGACGTAAAAATATCCATATTCACCACTTTTATTCTGCTGCCAGTGAGCTGCCCAAGGGTGCTGATCGCTGGTAATTGTTGGGTTCATGTCCAGTATTACGTGTATACCACGTGCATGAATGTCTTGTACAAGTTTTTCAAAGTCGGCAATGTTGCCTAGATGCGGATCAACATTTTTGAAATCAATAACGTGTGTATACTCCAAAGGGTAATCTAACGCGCTGAAAATAGAATTTAACCTTATCGAGGCAACGTTAAATTTTTGTATATAAGGTAGTCTCCAGCGCAGTCCGGCGAAGTCACCGAATCCATCACCATCAGAGTCTTGAAAGGAAGCTGGAAACACTTCATAAGAGACAGCACCCTGCCACCATTCTCTAGCCGGGATACAGTGAGATGTTTGAGATGTCACTGACATCAGCACAACACAAAACAATCCAACCAGAACACACACGAACACTACAAAACATCCCAAGCGGAATCCAGCCCAGTTCCACTGAAACACCAGAACATCTAATGGGCAGGAACTTAAGGGAAACTCTCTAGTTCGTAAAGAATAGTTTGAATTCGTCTCAGCGGATGTACTCTGTCTATCTTCCTGAGATAAGTGGATAACGAATGGCTGCGAGATTTCTGATTCAAGTAAGTTTGTGGAACATTCTGGTTTCTGACCTTGTTCACTGTCGGTAGAAGAACACCTAGATATCAAGCTGGTATTGGATTTAGATCTTTCCTTCATCATCAGTTGTGATCCATCAGAAATGGTTAAAACTATGTCTCCATTCGGACCAGAACAACTACTATCCATTCTGTAAAACTGGAAGTCACCGTTGGTACAGTTTGCTAATTTGATGCTTTCAGGAGAAGCGTACAACCTGTTATAAACAATCAATCCTTCCCTGGTAGTGGAAGAATACCTAGTAGAAAATATTATGGTATTGTCAGAGGGTTACTTAAAAAAAATAGCTTAATTAAGCTGATATTCGTGTCTTGTGAATGTTTTATATACGTCGTGAAAATGATACATGAATTGTTTAATCCAGTGCTTTTTTTCCAATAACTTTAAAAGTAAGTGAATCTAAAATTAATTTCCACTATTACGGAACATGTTTACGTGTAAACAAGGTTTGACATTTTCACGTGATCTCTTCTAAAGTAGGACTGACAAGGACACGAGAAAGTGTCAAAACTTATATCCATATAAATTTGTTGGTCGTAACTTTATTTTATATTACTTTACACAATATTGTGTATATACCTACTATTAAGTAACGCTACCATGTATTGTTGTACAGAAGTGACGAAATACAACATATCAATTCTTTTAAATGAAATGCTAATGTAGAAATACGTTAGCTTTCTTGACAATATAGAAACACATATAATGAAACATTTACAATCTATCTTCAAAAGGGCTTCTTTTACAAATTCAGAACGACAGAAAAATATTTATCGAACCTGGATTAATAGTTATATTTATTCTTCCCTTGTTCGATTCAAAATCGCCTTAAGTTCAAATAATCAACTTAACCATCCTTGCCTTTTTCTTTATTCTGTTGCTTGGAAATGTCTAACGTATTTTCATATGCTAGTTTAATTCTACTACATGATACTGTCGTTATATAAATGATAAAGTTTAATGAGTGAGCTTACACGGCGACTTAATTGAAAAATACTTTCGCAATGAGCTGCATTATTCTACAACAGTAACAAAGCAATTTAAGTATTAAGTTGAAACTAAAATGAGAACTATTAAACTGTTTTGCTACTTAAGTAATTATAGATCCCATCTCAAGTCACGATTAAAACCGAAATTTACAAAAAGTATTTATGATAGGCAAGTTATTGGCAAACTCAAAGCATTCTAGTACACATTGTCCGCCAGTTTTACTGTTTGAAGTGTAACAGAAATATTTATATATCACATTTCAAGTTATAAATGTACAAAGAATGAAAGGAGCAGCGGAATTAAAAAATCATACAAAATAATCTGCATGCCAAAACATTTCCTTTATTATGAAATTAACAAGGATACAAAATAATCTGCATGCCAAAACATTTCCTTTATTATGAAATTAATAAATATACAAAATAATTTGCATGCCAAAACATTTCCTTTATTACGAAATTAATAAAGATACAAAATAATTTGCATGCCCAAACATTTCCTTTATTATGAAATTAATAAAGATATACACACACACATATATATATGTGTGTGTGTGTGTGTTTTATACTATAGTGCAATATAATTCGTAATGATCTCACAGTTATCGATCTCATTATCATTTTATTTCTACATAAAATCTTAGATACATGTGTTTGACATCCTGCTTTTTTTCCAGGTTTTTCTTTTTGTAATTTTAATGTATTTATCATACCTATTTTCGACGCATGTCTAGCGCAGCAGAAAGCATAAACAGCCATTATTTAATAGAGTTAAGTAAGCTAAATCCTCCGAAATGCTCAAGTTTTGCCTTTCCTTTCAAATACAGGCTTATCTCTTTACTCTTGTATAAGAAGAAAATGTCTCGTTCCCTCATTGTCAATTGATCACTAGACCTCTTTTCCGTGTCAGCTACACGTTCACACATAGAGGTAGGGACGCTAATGGTTTTCTTCCCAAGACATTAGTTTAGTTCAACCAACAAAATATAGAAGTTTGTTGAGATTACAGATCCTGTCATTGGTTCAACAAAAATGAAAAAAGTTATAAGCCCACCAGATTTGTATTCTTTAAGAATTTTTTTTAATTACAGTCCGTTCTATCGCATTAAATAAAAAAAAGTGAAACTTAACAGTATTTAACATTTTTTGCCATTCGTAAAAACAGCAACTAATGCATCATTATTAAAAAATTGTATTTCGAGTTATTTTTTTATCGTATCTTTGAAAATCAAATTATATCTTGCAAACGCAATTTCTAAAGCTGAAGAATTCAAAGATCGCCTTTCTTCTACTTTCATACTGACTCTAGATCGATTATTTTGAAAATGAATTTTTTTCCAGTGAACATAACGTAAATAACAAGTGCTATTTCTGTTTATATATTCCTGTAAAATGAAAATAAAGAAACTGATAAAAAGAACTTGTAAGATTTTCAATTTTGAATAATGCCGTCTTTAGGGATTGGATGAAATATATTATATGAATCTTAGAAGTAAAACTCGCACGCAAGTGTATACAATAACCCATAATTTCAAGATGTGAAAAATCTCGTGACAATCATTCAAATACTTCATTTCGTGTTATAAAACGTATGGTATTTTTAACCCTTCGAATTATTTAAAACGTAGTTTCATGCGTGTTATGGTAATTAAATTATTGTATATTTGTATTAATGAAATATATTAGAAAACTACGTATTTACTCATGGATATTAATTACAAACCGATCTGTTATATTTTTCTTTGAAAGCGAGATAAACCCTCATAATGAGTCCAGTTCCTCCTAACTTTCTCAAATTACATGAATGATTCTAATGTTTTGATTTTTTTTTTCAGTATTACTGCACTTAATTCAAGTATAATTGCATGTTGTTGATTTTTAATTGTTTATTCTCATTAGGCTAAAAATGTGATTAAAATCACGTTTGATTGGAATTTGTTATTGGTTTTAACAACTAGTGTTACTTTCAAAATATTTACGCTTCATTTTCATAAAAAAAATTACAAAAACAAAGAAAAATATATGAATTACATGAAATTAAAAAATTAAAGATTCTATACGGTGTAACAGCTTTAAGCCTTATTCCCATTACGATGATTCTGGACTGAATTTTCCAATTCTGTTACAAATTTAGGTTTTGCTATAAACGTAGGCCTGGTATGGCCTGCTGGTTAGAACACTCGCCTCGTAACCTGCGAATCGCGATTTCGAATCCCGTCAGCGAACATGCACGTCTTTTCAACTGTTGGAGCTTTATAATGTGATGGTAAATCCTAATATTAGTTGGTAAATATTAGCGAAATAGTTAGCGATTGATGGTGTTAACTCTCTTCATTCCCTCTTGTCTCTCATTTCAAAATTACACGCGATTAAGGTAGATAGCCCTCGATTAGTTTTGCGTGAGCTTCAGCAAACAGACAAATAAAAGTAACAAGCGTACTTGACTGTTCAAATAACTTCTTTTTAATTAATTATATTTCCAATAGCCTTGTATACGGATTATCTAATTATCATTAGTGGAATTCTATTGAATATTGCCCAGAATAAGTTTAAAATATCGAAAATATTCTACTTTGAATTTCAGCGAGTTACTTCGAGTTCGGAATTCTTTGTGAAAGAACCAGGCATTTCAGTTTAAAATTGGATTCAACATATCATAACAAGCAATTATTTTTTCTCTTATATTTTATTTTCTAACCAAGCATTTGCTTGAAATAAATACGTCCATCTCTTCTTAACTCCCTTTAGCCACTTGATAGTTTTAGGAAATTAGTCTTATATTATGTATATTTGTCGTCTTTTACTGCCAGTTTAATCATTTT